GGCTGAGCAAGTGCAGAATGGTGGTAGAATGTGCATTTGGACATTTAAAAGCGCGCTGGCGCAGTTTACTGACTTGGTTAGACCTCAGCGAAACCAATATTCCAATTGTTATTGCCGCTTGCTGTGTGCTCCACAATCTCTGTGAGAGTAAGGGGGAGACATTTATGGGGGGATGGCAGGTTGAGACAAATTGCCTGGCCGCTGATTATGCGCAGCCAGACACCAGGGCAGTTAGAATAGCACAGCAGGGCGTGCTGCGCATCAGAAAAGCTTTGAAAGACAGTTTCATGACTGGCCAGGCTACGGTGTGACAGTTCTGTTTGTTTCTCCTTGATGAAAACCCGCCCCCTTGGTTCACTCTACTTCCCTGTAAGCCAACTGCCCTCCCCTCTTCAATCGCCTCTTGCAGAGGCAATAAAGTCATTATTGTTTCAACATCATGCATTCTTTATTAATTCATCACACAAATAGGGGGATAACTGCCAAGGTAGCCTGGGAGGGGTGGGCGAGGAGGGAAGCACCAGGTGGGGTGGTGGAGGAGGGAAGGACAAGGCCACACTGCACTTCAAAACTTACTGAATGCCAGCCTTCTGTTGCTTGGGCAGTCCTCTGGGGTGGAGTAGTTGAGTGCCTAGAGCCCTCCCCCTTCCTTGTCCCACGTTCATGGGCGTCTGGGTGAGGAGGCTATGGAACTTGGGGAGGAGGGCAAGCGGTTATACAGGGGCTGCAGCAGCAGTCTGTGCTCTTGCTGCATTTCCTGCAGCTCCTCCAGATGCCGGAGCATATTGGTTTGATCCCTCAGTATTGCATCCTGCCTGCTCTCATCGCGCTTGTTCCTCCTGTCCTCGCGTTCATTTTCTGCTTTCCTGGACTCTGACATTGTTTGCCTCCACACATTCTGCTGAGCTCTTTCAGTGCGGGAGGACTGCATGAGCTCAGAGAACATTTAATCACAAGTGCGTTTTTTTTCACCTTCTTATCTGCACTAGCCTCTGGGACAGAGATGATAGGGGGAGCGTTGAAACATTTGCAGCTGTGGGTGGAAAAAAAGGGAGAGTATTCTTTAAAAAGACATTTTAGAGAACAATGGGTAGACTCTTTCACAGTGAACCAAGCTGTTAACATTACATAGCACATGTGCTTTCGGTATAAGGTCGCATTTTGCCTCTTATACTGAGGGCCTGCCGGTTTGGTGTGCGAGATCACACACGCAGGTCCAGGCAACAGAATTCGGCTTGCAGGCAGCCATGGTAAGCCATAGTCTTTTGGCTTCTTCAACCTTCATAACATGTGGGAATGGTTTCAAACAGCAACGCCCTCCTTTCCCATACCAAGCACCCGTTGGGTTGGCCATTTAAAAGGAGAGTCTGTCCTGGCCGCGAATGCATCCCAAGTCTTCAGGGCAAATTAATCATTAAACACGCTTGCTTTTAAACCATGCATTATATTTACAAAGGTACACTCCCCCAAAGCCTCCCACATGTTCTCTGGCTTCATGGTCCGTGAGCCCGGGTTGGGAGGGTATTGGCTCCAGGGCGATAAACAGTTCCTGGCGGTCAGGGAGAATGGTTTCTCCGCTTGTGTGCTGTGCACTATCCTCCTTCTCATCTTCCTCATCCCCCAAATCCTCAACCCTGTTGCATGAGACTCCCCCCTTGCAGGTGTCCATGGACAGGGTGGGATAGTGGTGGGGGCCCCCCCTAGAATTGCATGCAGCTCATCATAGAAGCGGCATGTCTGAAGCTCTGACCCGGAGCGGCCGTTTGCCTCTTTGGATTTTTGGTAGGCTTGCCTGAGCTTCTTAATTTTCACACGGCACTGCTGCTGGTCCCTGTTGTAGCCTCTGTCCATCGTGGCCTTCGAGATTTTTTCAAATATTTTGGCATTTCATCTTTTGGAACAGAGTTCTGATAGCACGGATTCCTCTCCCCATACAGCGATCAGATCCAGTACCTCCCATTCGGTCCATGCTGGAGCTCTTTTGCAATTCTAGGACTGCATGGTCACCTGTGCTGATGAGCTCTGCATGGTCACCCGTGCTGATCAGTTCGCCACGCTGGCGAAACAGGAAATGAAATTCAAAGGTCCTGGGGCTTTTCCTGTCTACCTGGCCAGTGCATCTGAGTTGAGAGTGCTGTCCAGAGCGGTCACAATGGAGCACCTTTGGGATAGCTCCCGGAGGCCAATACCGTCAAATTGCGTCCACACTACCACAAATTTGACCTGGTAATGTTGATTTCAGCGCTAATCCCCTCGTAGGGGAGGAGTACAGAAATAAATTTTAAGAGCCCTTTAAGTTGACAAAAATGGCTTCGTCGTGTGGACGGGTCCAGGGTTAAACTGATCTAACGCTGCTAAATTCGACCTACACTCATAATGTAGACGAGGTCCTAGAGAGGTGGAGGTTCCTTAGAGGTTTTTAAGGCCCGGCTTGATAAAGCCCTGGCTGGGATGATTTAGTTGGTGTTGGTCCTGTCTTGAGCAGGGGGTTGGACCTGAGGGCCCTTCCAACCCTGATATTCTAGGATTCTATAGGGCAAGCCAGGGAGAGGCAGGGAAATGGAGAAGGAACTGAAGCTAAGGGAGAAGCATATTCCCCGCCCGCTGGCTGCAGCTCTCTGGACTCCAGCCAGCGCGATGATACGCGACAATAATATCTTCAGCTTTATCAATGAGGCCTTTGAGAGCGCGGCTATAAATGGCCTCAGTCTGCTACTTCAAAGTGTGACCGGAACAACTCTGCAGCTACAGCCTCTGCTGCGAGACGGGGGGGGCAGCGCGCGGCTTCGGGCTCCCGGCAAGAGCCACTTGTCAGAACCAGACCTCCTGCTCCGCCTTGCCGTGCTGCACACAGCCCCAGGGAACACTTCCCAGCACAGGCGCTTTGCCGGAGCCAAGCGGGGGCCCCTGGAAAAGAATCAGGAAATGGGGCCAAACCCAAGTGTGTGCAGGCAGGGGATCCCCAAGCCCCCAGAGGGGGGGATAATAGGCCTTTCCCTTCTCTAACTAGGCAAGCCGGTTGAGCTGAGCAGCACAGTGTGAACCCTGCGTCATCTCCACCCCTGAGGAAAGCAAGTCCACATCCCCTGTAGCCTAGAAGTGGCATTTGGATACCGAGGAGCCTGGGAAATGGAGCGTGTTAGTGAGAACAGCAGTTCGAGATAAGATGGGGAACTGAAGTTAGCAAGGCCAGGAGCAGGTTATAACTGATTCTAGCAGGTTTTCAATGTGTGAGAGAGAGAGAATTTGGGAAGTTTGACTAAGAGGCTCTGTCTCGGAGGCAGGGGAAGGACACTGGGGCGGCTGTTATTTAAATAGCACAGAACGTCAAGAGCCAATGAAGAGGTGGGAATAGGTCAGTTTAAGCTTAGTTTGTATTAGAATGGCTATAAAAGGCTGCCTTGGGGCAAGTCCTAGGACTGTAGCGGTGCCTTTGGTGGGACAGGCTCCAGAGGTTGTACTTCATTCTGGTGCCTGTCGGCCCATTGATACACCATTCCGTCTTGGACGGTGAGCATAACGGGGGAACCCATGTAAATGGTCGTGGGACGCCTGATTGCCCAACCCATCGTTTCTCTCACATAAAAGTTGGTTCTGTCATTCCAAGGGCCATTCAGGGTCCTCGACTAAATCGAAGTGCCTGGAGCTGACCTAGGGGCGCGCGGCAGAGAACTACGGTTGGTTCATTGCATCCTTAGCTTTAATGATTTAAAACCATGGGCCCAGGGTGTGCCATAGGACTCCGTCTCCCTCAGTATGATCCTTCCTCCAAGGGCCCCCGGGAGACGCAGGGGGAGCAGGTGGAGGCGCTGAGAGTGTAGGCGAATGCGGAGCTGCTGCAGTCCGGATGGAGGCTAAGCCCCAGCACTTGTCTCAGGCCAGACCCTTTGCCTGGCTCCTGGCAGGACAGGAGTTAAACGCCGCAGATCTAACTTTGTTACAGCGGAATTTTAATTCCCTCTGCCCCACTCAAAGGCCAGCAGCTGCTCACATGAGTCTGATTAGCGGGATGCTGTCTGTGGCTCCAGCTTGCTCTCCACTCCCCAAGGCACTGGGTGCGAAGCAGCACGAAGATGAAAGCAGAGCAGGGGGACAGGGAAGGCTTCTCTTCCTTACCCCCAGGCTCAGATGGCCACGTTTGGGCATCCTGCATCTCTCCCTTCATGAGGCAGTGTAGGATTCCTCCCTGCACTCCATTCCACAGGGCTGTGCCCTGACCCACTTTAGAGTCACGCACAGGAGCTAAAGGACAGGATGAAACGCAGGCCCCTTCCTCCCAAGCCACGTGAGGCTCTAGTGCCGCTCTCCCGGAGGCAGGCAGCACGCATGGCCACCATGGCTACTGCCTCCGGGAGAGCGGCCCTAGAGCCGTCCTGCTGCCACAGGGCCGTCCCCAGATGGGCGAAGGATCTGGACTGGCCCCCATCAATGCCACGAGGCCCTGCTCTGCGATACTGAGCTTTATGAGCTGGCGTCCCAGCAGCAGCCGTGCTGACACCTCTGGCTGCAAAGACAGCGACTCTCTGCCCTGCCGACGCAGTAGCCTGGTGCAGCGCGGTGCAGCTGGCTCCTCCTCACACAGTGCCCGACCGGGGGGGCGGGGGGGGCAGGGGGGGCGGCAGAAAGCACAGGGGCAGAGAGAGGCAGCGTGGGGCCAGTCGTTGCCCTGAGCACTTGCCAGCTGCGGAAGAGGGCGGCAGCAATCGAGGGTCCCGGGAATCTTACCCGGCGAGGCCTGTGTGTGGCATGGAAGGCAGGCAGGAGGAAGGGGACAGCAGCTTGGCTGCTAGTGCTGCAGTGGACTCAGTGCGGTTTCGACTCGGCGTTCGCCCCTGCAAAGCAGCGTCCCGAGAGGACTCCAGCTCCAGCAGGCTGGAAGTTATGGAGAGACTAAAAAGGGCCTTTTAAATCCAGGACAAACCTGTGCCCATCCATCCCTCAGCTGAGCCCTTTTTTCCATGGCTGAAGCAGCAGGACGTCAAAGGACCCGGCCTCCCTGCTCTGCGTGACTGTTTATTACAGTGCCCCACCAATCAGGAACATAATTACATAGCGTGGTGTGGGGACAGGGCTTGGTCTGGTTTCAGTCCCAGTCCGCGTCTCCGTCGGGGTTTTCGTCTCGCGGAGGCTCCTGGAACTGGATATTCGCCAGCATGTCCCGCATGGCTGCCATTAGCCTATTCACACCCTGGTTTAGATCCTGTCCAGCTCCAGCCTCTTCATCTCCATCTTGTCTGATCTCCCCCTGCAACATAGCGCAAGGCACGTAGTGAGAACAGGGGGATTGAGAGCCCCCAGCGCTGAACTGCTCAAAACGGATTGGCCTTTAAACCCACAAGAATCAGGGCATTCAGATTTCAGCTGCCCTGGGGTAAAAGCTCAGTGAATGACCTGCACTAGGAGTCAATCGTCTCAGATGTGCACTTGACCCCTGAGCAGCTTTGGAGAGTGTCAGAAGTTTACACCACTCAGGGAAAGCAAGCATGGTCAAAGCACAGGCCTGTGAATCAGGAGATGTGACCTCTATTTCTGAATGACAAGTCATTTCCCCTCTCCGTGCCGCAGTTTCCCCCATCTCAGCAAGGGGGAGGACAAATGTTGTAAGCTTTGCTGTATAATGGTTATGAAGCACTGAGGAAGTGCTGTAAAGTCACAAGGTATTACATGCGTCTGATGAAGTGGGTATTCACCCACGAAAGCTCATGCTCAAATACATCTGTTAGTCTATAAGGTGCCACAGGACTCTTTGCTGCTTTTACAGATCCAGACTAACACGGCTACCCCTCTGATACAAGGTATTGCAGCAACTGCTATAGTTAAGGGAGCAAAACTGGTTATTATGAACTCGCTTTCACACTCCAAACATTCCAAAACATGGTGCAAAATTCCTTCCATTGGTTTAATTACACGGTGGTTAAAAAAAGGACAGTTCAGCTTCAGAAAGGGAGCTGTTGTCTACCCCCAACTGCAGGGGACTAATTGATATGGTGGAACTCAAACACCCAGCCCGGCCTATGAATAGTTCCCACCGAGCCTGGTCTCTGCTAGTTTTTAATATAAAAAGCATCTGAAAGCACAGGCGCGAGCGTGCAGTTACGTTTTGTCGTAAGCTCAGTACTGAAATCTGGATGCAGCGTCCATGCGTAAGAAGCTAGTTACAGCTATTCGCACGCTCCGCCAGCAAAGCCGTACGATCTATACGCTGAACAGTTCTGGATTTCGCTTCAAAAACCCAAGCAAGTCTACAGAATTAGTGCCGCTGGCAGTTGAAATTTCAACACGAACAGAGACTCGGCCTCCTTGTTTCTCGGATGAGATGGTAGTTATGCTGCTAACATGCCTGCTGCTGTGGCACCCAGCTTTCCTGGGGAATGGAAGCAGGCTGCCTTGAAAGGATTCTCTTCGGCACGCTCTCTTCACCAGCCGCAGGGATGAGAACGCTCGGACGCACTGAAGGAAAGGAAGATTCCCACACACGTTCTGCATGCAAACAGACCTTACAAAGGGCGAGAACCCAAACTGCTGATTTCAGATTTAACTGACTGACACAAGCCATTAAATGTAGCAGTTCCAGGATACATGGGATGAAAAGGCTTTTTGCAACTGAGGAAGACAAGTCCTTTCCCAGGTCAAAATCCTCCCCGTGTTTGTATCTGAGAACCCCGGCTGAACTACATTCTGAAAGTGTGTGTTTAACTGTGGTAGTTACACATGCAACCTCCAGCTTACGGCGCAATGGGTTGCTTGCATGCACAACACAACACTGGGTAGGAAGGTTCGGTGTGGAATTCCATGCACATGCTAGTACATGTGTGCAGCAGTTATAGATTCATTTAACATACCTGTAAGGTAAAATTTGGCAACAATGATCGAAAGAAGAGAGATAAAGTGCTTTCATTGGATGGATGAGTCGTCCTGGAAAAGAAAAAACCAAACAATCCCATTCAGTGAAACAAAGGACATTTGTATTTGACTCTCCCACGCTCATCCCAGCCTTGCATGAAGACCCCCAGCTCCTGTACAATCTCACTTTGTTCTTTAGCAATGCACAGCTTTGCGTAAGCCCAGCGCCAGGTTGGGGTAGGGTTACCCGAAGCAAGATGCTGTGATTCATCTTTGTTTGGATTCTATCACCCGCAGTTTAGCGAGTCTCTACTCGAGGCAGGAGCATTTCCATAGGGATGCAGGCTGCGGTCAGATTTCTGCACACCTTTGCAACGTGCAGGATACAAAACAGCCAGCCGTCACGGCGTCTATCCCAAACCCCACCCGGAGTGGAGCCCTGCCACATTCAGAGAGGTTGATGCAAAGTGACATTTTGAAGCAGTGGCCGCTGCAGACTGTCTCAGATGGTGACCCACAGTCAGCTACCACCCCACAAAAGTGGCAAGACAACCCCAGTCTGTACGGTTCATACACCTCATTGAGCGCTGCAAGTCAAATGGTTCGACTGTTCTCAGATGGAGGAAGATTTAACACCAAGCCCTGAGAATGTTTCATTAGCGTCCATCCCGCTGTGTGGCTGGGCACTTGTGAAAGCAAACAGCTGAGCTATGCACACAGGCATGAATCCGAAGTGGAGAAGTACCTTTCTGGTCTTGTATAGGAAGTGATGGAGTCCAAGGGAGGTAGGGGGTCAAACCCTATTACGGGCTGGGATGTCACTTCCTTCAAAAAGAGGGACAAAAATCAGACCCCATGTCAGAACACTGCTAACTTCTCATGCCTGCTGTCTAATGGAGCAACAGTGTCCCACGGCAGGGGCAGAGAAGGCACACAACTGACCTAGGACAGTAAGTCCCCGCTGGCACATGGCCCCATGTAGCATTGAGACAATCACAGCAGCCTTGTCATGGCCCCAGTTGTCCCTAGGCATAGCAGGACAAGTCTGGTTAGTGTCCCGGGACACCACGTGCTGCTGTATCCTGGATGGTACCTTAGTAACAGATTAAAGAAATACCCAGACGACCAAACACTCGCCGCCACCTTTGCACACCCTATTCCCAGCCCTGGGACGAGGCACTCTGAGGGAACACACACCACAATGCCTTGGTACAACGGGCCGAGGCGTTTCCGCTGCTAGTCGTTTGTGACACTATTAAGCCTGGGACCTATTTTTGGCTGGGCTTTCCCCCTCGCCTGCTGCGGCACTCTGCCTGGCCCCAGAACGCCCAGCTACCAGAGGAGGGGTTCTCTGTGGGGGCTCCAAAGGCAGTGAAGCAGAGACGTACAGGAGACCAAAGGGGGAGGTGCTACGTCAGTCTCCGTCCAAGAGCCCCACTGGGCTTGGTCTGACATGGCCGGGGGGGCCGTGAAGCGCGTGTGACACCAGACACAATGCCCCATTTTTACTCACCAGGGGCAGTGCTGCCGTGGCTTCTTTCAGCTCCGAGAGAATCACATGGCGAGAGATGTTTCTGGGGGCGCTCTGGTACCGCACCTTGCGCCTAAGGGCAGACAGGGAACGGTGTCACTGACACACACCACGATGCACTACGGCACTGACAAGGTTTGCATTCCCTGGTGGCAACCGCAGCTTCATCCCAGTCTCCTATGGGATGTGCCGTGCCAATCAGCCCCTCCCTCGCCTGGCAGTCAGTGGCTGCCCGTGTGCCAGTGAGAGCGGCCATACCACCCGGGTGGTGCTCTCCAGAGGGCCCACCACACCAAGGGAGCCAAGAGGCCTCAAAGGAACGCTGCTGAGATGCCCAAACAGCCCCAGCCCTCCGCGCCCCCCCCCCAACCGCCCCCCCCCACACTCCACGGACCTGGCAAGCCAATCCCTACTTCAAGTGCTCATCCCACCCACACCTCGCCCGGCTCTGCCTCCCAAGTCAGTCTATGAGGAGCACACCCCTCCCCTCAGCAGTGTGACAAGGTCAGCGCTCCCCCCAGCTGGCCTGGTCACTCTCTGCCACGGAGGGAGCAGCCTACACAGACAGACTTTGCTAGCAAGAAATCCGCCTGCTTCTCAGGTGCATTGCAAGGCCCTGCTGACAGCCAGGCCAGAGTCAGAGCGAGGAAAGCAAAGAACGGGACCTTCTACTGGGCCACAGATATAGCGATTCTCAAACTGTGGGTTGGGACCCCATTTTAATGGGATTGCCAGGGCTGGCTTAGACTTGCTGAGGCCAGGGGCCAAAGCCTGAGGACTTCAGCCCTGGGCAGCGGGGCTCAGGTTACAGGCCCCCGGCCTGGGGCTGAAGCCCTTGGGCTTTGGCTTTGGCCACCCTGTCCAGAGCGATGGGGCTTGGGCTTTCGTCCCCCCCACATGGGGCACTGGGGCTTGGGTGGGCTCAGGCTTCGGTTCCCCCTCCTGGGGTCATGTAGTAATTTTTGTTGTCATAGTGCAATGAAGTTTGAGAACCCGTCTCGCAGCTCACCACCACGCTGGCCCCATCTCACTAAGACTTCACCTTCCTGGCCCCAAAGCTTCTCCCACCAGTGGAAGCAGCTGCAGAAGCAAATGGGCCAAGAGCATAAAATGGGGCCATCCCTCCCCCAGACCGGCAGGGGAGATGGCCCCACCCCTGCCACCCCTGGAGGGCGCTAGGACCCAGGCGGTATTCCCCTCTGCCTTCACTTCTCTTTCCCTTCAGTTGACCCCTCTAATTAACCCCACAAAAATCAGGGATCCTAGAGGCCATCGACTGCTCACTCCGCCTGCACATATCCCTTCCCGCTCCCTGGTCTGTCTGGGGTTTGTAGGTTGCAGACTCTTCAGGGCAGGGACTGGCTGCTCGTGTCTGTCCAGCATCTCGGACAACGGGGCCCCTTTCTTAGTTGGCCAAAGGCACCACTGTAATAAGCACGTTTAATACCACCGGGGCAATGCAGCCTTTGTTGCAGATGTACAGCCATCCGCTCTGGAGCAGTGCGCTTCCAGCGTGATGACACACATCTGCCTACAGGCCAATGCTGGGACACTGGGGGTCCAGACACATCTGTACAGCTCAAAGGGTTTATACCTCTGCAACACATGCTACCTCTAATGGGGGGGATTTCCTCTTTGGTAAAGGGTGCTTTAACCCGTAGTGGTATGTGGTGGCTGGGAAGCAGCCCAGGGAACCCCGACGGGACAGAGAAATGAGCCATTCTGTGGCGTGCAGCCTGTAACTTGTAATGACACTGGGCAGCTCACTGCATACACGGTACAAGAGTAGCATGACAGCACTGGGCTCGTTGACGCCAGGAGCTCAGTCTCGCTGTCGAGACAGACGAGGGACAAGGTAAGTCCCACTCATTCTGCAAACGAGGCACAATCTAGCCTGAAACTGCTGCAGGCAAGCAGGAACCGCAGCTGCGAGGGAGAGAGAAGCCAGGAGACCAAGGCATGGGTGTGGGGGGGGGTCAGTGAAAGGGGAAGAGAACTAACTGTGGGAGGCCAAGAGGTGGAGGAGGACATGCCTGAACCCAGAACGGCAGCCTCCTTGGCTATCGGCAGTTTGGCACAGAACTCCTCCATAGCTCAGAGGCAAGTTCCCAGGGGCACAGAGACAGCACCTTATCCTTGGCATGGTTAGATCCAGACTGACTGAGCAGTGCACGCAGCATTCTGGGCCTGGACAGGGAATGCCTGGGATAGGGTCCAAGACCAACAAGGCTCTTTTATCTAACTCTAGATCCCCCCTCATCAGAGAGTCTCAGTGCCTCCACCTCGAATGTCGAAGGTTCTAGGTTATCTGGTACGGAAGAGCAGTAGGCATCAGCCAACTGTACTCACTTCTGCGCAAATTCCTCCACCACTGGCTCACTCGTGTCAACCCTCCGTAACACTTCATGGACATTGGTTTCCAGCCAGGCCATGATGGCAGGGTCCTTCCACAGGGAGTGGGTCCTTCCTACGTACAGGGAGACCAGCTGGTTCAAGGCAGGAGGCTGGCTGTGGGACATAGAGTGTTATAACACAGCAGGCACTGCTCACCCCAGCCCACACCGAGGCCTGTCTCAGATTCTCACGCTGAACAACGAGCTGCAATCTCCTGTGTTTGCTATTTGCACCAGCCTCCACCAGCTTATTGTGCCTCGAAGGACTGAGTGCTGTTCCCAAAACAGCCCGGACAGGGAGAGGGTGAGAAAGTGCCCCACCTTTCCCTGAGATCCAGGCAGTCAGATGATCACAGGGCACAGAACCCCCCCGAGCCAGACAGCCTGCCCAGGTCGCATGCACACACTAGCATCTGCTGCAGCAGGGACAGACACTTGCAAGGCCCAAGATGAACCTATCGCCTACCTATATTAAGCTGGGGGTTTCTACTGGGCATTATCTATCTGGGTTCTCCTATGGGTCCCCATCAGCCTGCTACCCAAGTGCCTCCCATGAGCAAACAGCCCTCTCTCCCCCTCCCACTCCCTGCTGGGACAAACAATTCTCCTCTCCTCGGTTCCTGGAAATGCAGACCGCAGAACGAGCGGAGAAACCCGCCAGTGCTGCAAGGCGAAGCTTTGATTCCTTCTGTTGAAAAGCTTGGGCAGCTCTTACCTTATCTGAGCTTGGAGTCCAAAAAAAGAATGTGAAGCGACCCTGGAGTCTGGCTGCACGCTACAGTGATCCAGCAACGGCATGAGAACTGCAAGAGAAAATCAGTGACACCTTCAGCGCAGACAGGGACTGCCAGAGCTCCAGGTCACCAGTGCCAGTGGCTGCAAAGAGCTCCTAGAACGGGGACAAAGGCCAGCTGGGGAGAGCAGGTGCTTTCCTAGAATCAGGCCACGTCTACACTACAGGGGAAAGCCGATCAAAGCTGCGCAATCTGAGTTACATTAGTAACGTAACACAAGTCAACGTAGCTCAGATCTGCTTACCACGAACGATCTGCAGTCGATTTAGTGGGTCTTCACTAGACCTGCTAAATAGACCGCTGATGCATCGATCGCCATGAGTCCATCTCCCCCCCCCCCCCCATAAGTGTAGACAAGGCCTCAAGCACCAGACACATAGGAAGAGGACGATTTCCAACTTTATGGCTGAAGATTTTGTTGCACATTTTATTATATTTAACGGACAGCAGAAGTAGGACCTTGTTCACATAGCATGCTACATCTGCTACATAAAACGTTTCAAGTTTTTTGTTTTTTTAAATCACTGTCCAGAGCTTTGCATAAGCGTTTACTAAAATGCCAAACGGAACAAGGTACGATGTCGTGAAATGAACACTGCTAGCCTTCGAACCTGAATACAGGTTTTATTTTCACCCTCATGACCAGCAACAGAAAGGATGGGTTATAGCAAGAGTCAACACAAACTGGACCCCTTTGTTCAGGGAGAGCAGATCTAAGCTACGGCCCCTCCTGGCCCAGCGGCGCTCCATGGCTCTGCTCTGGAACAGAAGCAGCAGCAGGATGAAAGTGACAGCGATAGGAGCCACAAACAGAGCATCTAAAGCGTAACGGGGCCTCGGAGGGAGAGCGGAGATAAAGAGCAGACAGTAAATCTGCTCAATCGACTCTGCTCGGATCAAAGCATCTTCCTGTGATGACTCAGGGTCTGGGCCCCTGCCCCCAACTTGTGCGCATGTGACGTGTATGTTTATACAGGGGGGAGAGGCACCAAGCGCTAGGAGAGGAATAGCATAGAGATAGGGAGAAGACATGGACACTTACTGACCCCTTTTGAACGTATTGAAGGCTGAGGGTGCCAAATATTGCCCATAAAGTTCTACAGTCGTTGAATAGCCCCACTGCCATATGATGCATGTGGCATAAGGCCACGTTCCCCATCAGTTGGGAGTCACCACTTCCACAGACTAACGGCCTAACACGCAGCACTCCACCTCGAGCTGAGCGACTGTGCTGCCCTGCATCTTGAGACCTAGTGTCTGAGAGCCACATCTCTGTCCTGAGAAGGGGCAGTGCCATCTGCTCCATTATAGGAATACGAAGTCTGCCTTCAGTCACCGAGAATTTGGCCATTGTTTTTGTGGATAAATCCTAAACCAAACATTCTGGGGCTGTTTGCCACCACACTTACCGCTTGGGAACATGATCAGCGCGTGCTGGAGAAGGTGGGCAGCTCTCTCCCGTGCCTGGCTTAGTTCCGCTTCCGAGAGCGCTTCCTGCTGGCTCAGAAGGAAATACGCCAGCGGAACCGAGAAGGCAAAGTTTGGGAGCTGGGACAAGTTCCGGTGACCCTGAAGACGAAAGAGAGATTTCCCAAGCAATGATAACATTGGTGCTAGTCTCAAGACTGCTAGGCTACACTCCTGTGGGTGCCACTTCTCACTGCGTAACTTCTGGAGAATTACTTCCCATTCTGTGCCTCAGTGTGCACACCTGTACAATGGACAAAGTGATACCAAACTCACACAATTGCTTATACAGCACTCAGAACCCCCGGTTCAGGAGAGCCAAGCCTGGTATCTTATGGTCCATTCCAGTTGGTGTCTGCAGTTCTGGTACAAGCGGCCTGGCCCTCGCCCCCCATGGTGCAGCTGCCCTTCCTTCTCAGCCCAGCGCTCACAGACACAGGTCACTGAAGGGTGTGGAGCCCCAGGAATCTGCTCTTGTCCAGTTCCCACTTGCCTCCCACCAGGGGAACCTGCTGCCAACTCACCTCCCACTCTTGGAACATGCGTGTCAGGAAGGAGTATTCTCTAGCTCGGAGCGACAGCAAATCAATTAGCAGCAGCACACACAGCGGGTCATTCTCCGGATCAAGGCTAGGAGAGGGGGAAGGGACGAACCAGAAGAGCAGCATTACAAAAACTCACAGTAGAGTTACTCGCTCGAAATCCGACTGCTGGGTTAAGACTCAACCCGCTACCCCCCCAAACTGGTCACGGTTCGTGGGATGGCGCCGATGAGGGAAGGACCATCACTGCCACATGGCAGGACGATAAGGCCACTCAGACAAGGCAGCGTCTAGCCAGGGCTGGAAAGCACAGGGCCAGGCAAATACAGAATAAGTCTATGGGCCTAGAGGGGGACAGAGGGATCCTGCCCAAAAGGGAGTCCAAGCTGCCTGCAGTGAAAGTACAGGTACGGAGCACGATTTTCCTGCCAGTGCTAAAGGTGAGGTGTAAACTGCTCTGCTCTAGCTCTGTGTTTCTCAACGACCGGTCTGTGGACCAGGCCCAGTCCTGAGATCTCCCTGACAGTTTAGGAAGGCAGCAAGCCGGTCCCTGGTATCAAAAAGATTGAGAAACACTGAACTAGTTCAACTCCAGCTACTGCACCTGAAGCAGGAAGTAATTCAGGGAAATTCTATGCCCCGTTATGCAGGTCAGCCTAGACAATCACAAAGCTCCCTTCTGCCTCAGAAGCTATGGAATAGCCAAGTGTGCCAATTGTCCCAGAGTCCAGAGACAGCCCGGGCAGCCGGCAGAGTCAGACCCAACACTGGACCTCGCGACGCCCAGAGCACTGCATGGGGGTGACGTGCACCTTCCCTGGAACCCCACTGCTAACGGCCAGGAGACCAAGCACTCAGTCAGAGCAGACTGGTAGCCAGACTCACGTGTAGCCCATTGGGACGACAGGTCCCGGTGTGCAAAGCTCCACCTTGATCTGATCAGCCAGGCCACCAGGCGGAACATCAGCCACGGCCTGCACTGAACTCCCTGGCCATGCCTGGACTACCCAGCATCCCTCCATCTTGTCAAAAGCAGCAGCAGAGCAGTGAGGCAGGAGAGATTCCTGTCTGCCCAATACCTGCCCCAATGGAACCGCTCAGGCTCTGTCTACACCAGGGTCTTTGGGCATTGATGGACTTGCAATGGTGGGAAATTTTGCCAAGCCTGGTGCAGACAAGGCCCATGCGGTGTTCAGAACCTGCACTCTATGGCAACCAGAAATCTCAGCTCCAGCCCAATGAGGATGCCATATGGATTCTGCACACTCTCCCTCAAGGGAACCCAAACTAGAAGGACCCAGCACCGCTCTTTACCTCAGGATAAGTTTGCAGAACTCCAGGGCTGTACGGGGACAGCCTCTCTTCTCCAGGAAGATCATGTGTTTGAAGAGAGACAGGTAGAAAGCTCTGCAAAGGCCAAAGCAGAAACACATTGAAAAATACACGGGCAGAAAAGAACCACATCACCCTGCTACTTCTGAAACGGGGAAACACGGGGCCTGAACCCGGCTGCCCGGGATGCCAAGGGCAGATCTAAGTATCTGGTTCTAGCGCAGGAATGTGGACAGCCAGGTCCTGACTCCTCTTTCCAGGAACTGGTCCATGTCTCCGTCTCGAGTTCCTGGTTTGTACTGAACGGGATGAGCTGGGGGATCCTAACTCAGGCTGTCCTTCCCAGGAAGGTACTTTAGCGTGTGGCTGTTACAGAGCTGGGCCGGGGATCTGGAAGACAGGAGCGGGAGTCAGGGATTTGACTGCACAGGCTTACAGACATGCATCTCAGCCCCAGCCGCTGCCACTAGCTCCTCCTGGCTTTCAAGTTACAGCTGGGGGCGAACTGCAGGGGTGGGTGGGTGCTAATGCCAGAGTTGGAGAAGCACCTGAATTGTGACCAAAGGAAGTTTGACATCAAGTTGGAACTGGCAGCACGAGCAAATTCAAGGTACTGAGGGGCAGGCAGCTTCTGCACCCGTCTGTTGTTTCCTGACGGATTCCCTGCCCAGGTGCAGAAGCTGGGGCTCGGATTAGCTGGACATGGAATGAGGGTGAACAGCTCACTCAGAACCACCTCTAGGCTGAATCTCATTTCCCCATCCCAACACCATGCACAGAAGCGGGAGGTCCCCACCTGTTCTCAGGTCTCCGGTAATCAAGCCTGCAGGTTCCACTGGTGAGACTGAACACAGGGTGAAACGCACACTCCAGACTGTACAGCGCTCGCTCTGCACACAACACAAGCATTATTAGGGGCACGGCCACACCTCACCCCCACTTCCCAATCTGACAGTCAAATCCAGCCCCCCGGACACCACTGACAAATGGCTGCTCGGGGCCTACAGCCCACGGACCATGCTGGCTGCGTTTCCTAGCAAGGGCCACGGCCACACCAATGACTAGTCTGGCAGTCTCAGCAGAGACCCAAAGGCGGAGGGAGCCCAGTTACTCAAGCGGAACACGCCCTCCCAGCTGGATCTGTGCTGTACAGAGGACTGTGGGCAAGCCACCTTTCCCCAGTTCTATGTTTTGGGCAATAGGATTTTGAACAAAAATTCATCAGGAGGCAGCCTGGGCTCAAGGATGAACCAGCTGCACAGCTATCTTGGGATTCAAACCCGCAGATTCTGTTCTAGCCTGTGGGGCCTGGCATCGCCTCCATCCGATACCTTCCAATCAGCAGCACCCCAGTGCTGGCTTCCTGGCACTGCCCCGGCTCGCCAGTGATTCCGTCGTTATCTGCACGTGTCTGGCTCTGCGGATCACACCCAGCACTCTTTTCCATGAGGCTGAGACTCAAGCATCCCTGGACCAGGCGGAGTCCCCAGCCTGCTCTCAGCGGCACACATGAACCTTGAGTTATTGCCCCTTTCTGAGGTTCGGTTTTATTGGTAACAGGACACCAGCGCAGAGAACTCAGTATAAGATGCCTCCCAGAGCTTCCCGTCTAAGAACTCCTCTGTCCTCGCTGGACCTGCCTACCAGCATGACTCAGCAGTGACCCTGAATCCCACGGCAGGGTCTCGGTACACTGACCCCTGCATTCCTAACGAAGGGCTTAGAGCTGGCACCGTTACACTCCAGAAACGTGCTTCCCAGGGCTCAACCCATACAGGTCCACTAGCTTCAAGCCAGAATCCAGGGGCTTTGCTGGCCCTCTGACCTTTCAACAGCTACATTTCCCATCCTGTGAAAATCACAATCCAGCCTCCTCAGAGCTTTCTGGAGGGGCTGGTCCTCCAAGAGTCCCCCTTTGCCCTCTGCCATCCTCAAAGGTCTCACATCTGGCCAAACCCTGCTCCTCCCACTGACCAGCACCCACCAAACTGCAACCACCTGGGATGTGACTGAGTGACAGGCTGGTGTGCTGTAGGTTCACATCCCGGCTTGCCGCAGACTAACTAGTCTTGTAGACAAGCCCTATGGGGGGTTGAAGAGTCAGCTTCTAATGAGAAATGGTAATTACACTGCAGAGCTCAAATGCTATTTCCTACACTGTGTTCTTCCTATACAACTTCTAGCAGCAGGGGCTGAGCAGTTGTCCTCTGTCACACTGGGATAGGGCAAGATGCCCAGTGAACGTGGGGAACTAGCTGGATGGTGCATGGCTGAGTACTCGTGGTGCTCACCTACTCTTTGGAAAGAGCTG